AGCTTTCGATTTCTCGAAATATCCATAAATTCGTTTCTTAAAGTAGGTAGACCCCAATCTTCTATTTCATAGATTTGAACTTAAAATATCTACATTGCAATATCTATGTATGTCTGTAGACAATAACTCATTCGATATACCCAATTTTTAGCACGTAGGTGTGCTGCTTGTGTAATTTTGGACAATTTTTTAATTTGTAGTCAGATTGTGAGCATATTTTATTGCGTGCAAGTGATTCTTCAAAAAAAAAAAAAAAGTGTTATAAAAGTAAACATATTTTAATTTATAAATGAATATATTTCTTTTCATTTTGAGTGCAAACAAAAACTCTTTCATCGGCATGGAATTTAGAGGTCTTCAAAGTTTGTGCAACTAATCAGGTTGGCTTTGCCAAATTTAAAAGACAAATATTTATCTGAGCGCCTGTAAAGTAGTGGCGTTAGTTTAATGCATACATGTACACACGTTTGTATGCTTATGCGCAAGCTAGTGTACACACGCGCAATAGAAAAGCTAATTGAGTTCACTACACTTGCTTCGATCTCTTCGCAGCGTGATGAAGGTCCTTTTGATTAGCGCCTTCTAATGAGGGGGAAAAACACAATTGTTTGTACATTATGTGTAAATGTATAAATGCTTGTGCGCTTTTGCCAAAGAGTAATAGTGTATTTAAAAATAAAAAATAAGAAATAAAAAAGATTTTTGAACACTTAACAAATGAAGGCACGCAACACTGTTGTGGATATGTATAGACAGACGCTGAGTGGCCATGTGAAGCACACTAAAATTAATACAAATACAAATGTCACTACATATTTACTATTTATGAAAGAAATGTAAACCCGATGTGTGCATGTGTATGTATGTACATATGTGCTATTGAGTGATGGCCGCTACCGTTTATGCCATTTAACGTTGTTGTTGTTGTTGGTGTTGGGGTTGACTATTGCCACTAAGCTAACATTGCCAATGTTCAAACGCTAATGTAAATTGGGCATTATTTACAATGATTGCATATTATATGCATTTATGCCTTGTATATACATATATACATATGTATGTTTTGTATGTATGCCTAACTGCCTGTGGTTCTCTGCCTTTAGGCTGCGCATGCGTGCACGTTCTCTGTTGTGGCTCTGTTGACTCAATAAATACAAATAAACTAATTTCTAAATGCATTAAACTGCCACCACATATTATAATATGAATAATAAAATGGGCAACAACAACAATGAAAATGTATATATGCTATGTATGCACGTATATATGTAAAGCTTGCATCATTCAGTGATTTGATTAATGAAAATACATGAAATTGCTGCTAATGTGTTAGTTGTTGTTGTTGCACTGTGCAAGCTCCAGCAATGTGATAAACAAATACACACGCCACACATGCGTGCACTCAGACATAAATATCAAAAAAAAAAAGAAAATAAACAAAGATATGTGATAACCTTAAAACACATGCTAAAAACTTTTAAAAACAATAACAATAACAACGGGTGGTTGGCTATCAATAATGTAAGTTGTTGCCACAACAACTATCGTATCATTAAAGCGGGTGCAAATTAAGTCGTTACCATGCACAACGCGCGAAACAGCGGCGACCCAGGCGTCAGCCGTTTTTTGTTTTCACGTTTTTGTTTTATATTGTTGTAGATGTTGTTTGTTTACTGGTTGCAGCATTTAATGTTACACCGACAAACAAGTGGGCAGTAAATATTTTTTTGAAGGGAATGTTGTTGTAGAAATGCAAACTTGTTGATGAGTATAAACATCATTTGAAGATGGCCAACAGAAGGAAAGGTTATGAAAAACATTATATTTTTTATTATATCTTTGAAAGTATTTTATTTGAAATGCAATAGGTTACGTATACGTACAGCGCAACTAACAAACGACAAATTGCCTGAAAAAATGCTTTAATTAATGAGAAGCGAAAAATTCATTTAACATTTTTTTACTTTTATTTTGATCATAATTTTAAGTTTATCTTGTAATTTATAATTTTTTATTTAATTAATACAACATTTGATTAAATTAAATTTTTAGTATACTTTTTAATTAATTATTAATTATTTTCTCACGATTTCCATTTAATTTTTTCCCTTCTGAGTTATATTTTTTGTTCAATTCGATTATTTCTTATGCATTTAGACACTTTAATATAATTGTGGTGGTTCCTTCTTTATATATCAGGTGTACAACTTTGCTTCCGCCGTTTTTTTTTTTTCAAAATTAAAAGCTTTATCGCGAAAAAGTGCTTACAGATATATTATTCAAAGTATTGTCCTTCGCTAGCGACAACTTTTTCCCCATCTTTCCGGTAATCTTCAGATCCCGGCTCGAAAAAAGGAGTCCTCTTCTGACGCTATTCATAAAGTAATCCATTTTTCCAATTCTTCGAAGGATTGAAAATGTTGATCTGCCAGGCCGTGTGCCATCAAACGGAATAGGTGGAAGTCAGAAAGGGCGACATCTGAGGAATACGGCCGTAGGGGCAAGACTTCCCATTTCAGCGTTTCCAGGTACTTTTTGACCACTTTTGGGACGTGAGGCCGAGCATTGTCGTGTTTGAGGATGACTTTGTCATGTCGCTCTTGACATTGTGGCCGCTTTTCTTTTAGCGCACGACTAAGGTGCATCAGTTGCGTTCGGTAGCGATCTCCTGTGATGGTTTCACCCGGTTTTAAGAGCTCGTAATAAATCACACCGAGCTGATCCCACCGAATACAAATCATAACCTTTTTTGTCTTCGACATCGAAATCATCATTTTTAAAACGTTGAAACCACTCCCGACGCGTTCTTTCACTCAGAGCAGCATCACCGTAAGTTTCTGAGAGCATTCGATGCGCTTCAGCTGCATTTTGTTTTTCGAATTGTAACAGAAAAGTAAAACTTCCCGCAAATAGCGAGAATTAGGCACATAAACGGACATTTTCGAGCGTGAATAATACGAAAACAAGAACAACTGTCACTGAAACGGCGATGACAATTCGTTAGGCACTGTCCACACTCACTTTAAAGGCATTATCATCTATGTATTTAAACCAGCCTCAGCCGGTACAGCCACCTATCGGAAAACGGCGGAAGCAAAGTTGTACACCTGATATATATTTTTTTTCCGTTATTGTTATTATATAATATCTATAATTTTATTTTCAAAAATTTTCATTGATAAATTTATTATTTCCACTATAATATTTATTATTAATCTTATAAAAATTATAATATTTACCTTTCATTTTAAAACCAATAGTTTATATTTTCTTGAAAAACATTTTTTTATTAATCATAATTATAAAATAAATAATAGTACTGTTAATATTGTTCATTCCCTTAGACTAAATTTATTTACCTAAAATGACCTACCTAAGAGTTTTGGGGCGAAGTGCACCGAGCGCTATCTATAGGAAACTTGCCTAATTTTCCAATTTACTTTTTTAAGATTTTATTTCTTTTTATTTGTTTTTAAAATTTATTTAATTTTTTTGTTTATTAACTTTTTTTAAATTTATTTTCTTAACTTTTAATTTTTTAGGTTTTTATTTGTTATTAATTGTTTGAAAAAAAAATTAATTTTATTGTTTATTCATCTTATTTTATTTTATTGTTTTAAATTTATTTTGTTATATTATCATAATTTTTTTGAGTACTCATTTATTTATGAGCTTCTTTTTTGAATTTGAATTTGATGTTTTGTTACATTTTTTATTTCCACCCATTTCCCTACAAAAATTTTCGACAACCCAAACGGCTTTGTTAAATACATATGAATATCTACCAAAGCATATTATATTTATGAAAATATTAACAACGACATCCATTTGTTGGACCCCTCGGTCACATATGAATTATGCTCAAGGTCATTTGTGACTGCCAAATGAATGCTAATGCCTTGTCACTTATGCATTTGCTTATGTATGATTTCACCTGCAAACATAAACTTATGTAGACTTAAATAGACACATATTTACTTAACTGCCGTTTAGCTACTCCAGCCGAGCACCAAATATATATATATGAATACCAACAAATTAACAAATAAACAAAAGAATTGTCGCCACTCAAAGGCAACTTATTGTTCACCTGCACCATGTCGAAACAAGCGCCCCATACAACCCTACCCCCATCTTCAAAACTCTCAAACTCAAATAAACACCAAAAAAAAAACAAAAAACAAAAAATCGAAAAAGTTGCTCTGCCGTGCTCCCCAACCGCTGTTTGAGTCGTTGGCTGACTGGGTTGCGGCTCCAATTTTCCACTTATTAATCTCGTTGTGCCAAACTAATTTCACTAATTCGTCAACACTTAATTTCCACATGGGCTCAGTGTGTTTGTGTATGTTTTGGTTGCTGTTTTTATGCATCATAAATCGCAATTTGAGCTTTGAGTTGGCTAAGGAAGCAAAAGCAGTAACAGAAATGGAGAGGGCTTTGTTTCACAACTTGGCTTAGGGCACGCTTTTGGGTCGCAGTCACTGTGTTTTATACATTTAACTTTGTGCTTGTGTGTGTGTATGTGTGTGTGTGTATGTGTGTGTGCATGTTCTCAATTTTGTCATTTTTAAGTGATTTGATCTCGGTGAACGCCGCATATGTGTTTGTGTGTGTGTGTTTGTTGTTTATATCTTTGCACAATCCTCTGATTTTTTATGGTTTCACAAAAGATTTTGAGTCATTTCTTAATCGCCTTCGCTGTTTTATTGTTGCTTTTGTTGTTTCATATGCGCAAATTTCAGGCTTGGCGCGTTGCTAATTTCTCTGTTGTCGCTGGCATGCGCAGTTTCCCTTTGAGGAGTGGAATTATTTGTATTATTTCGCAATTCTGGCAAATTGGTGGCTTGAATTAGGGCAAATTAGTAGTTTTTTAAACATTTGTACAACTTTTAATTACGCAATATTATTTAAGTTATTTGAATTATTTACACATTTACACATTTATATACTACGTACAATGGATTTTATTAATTCTCTCTTCTCTTCTCATTTCAGCAGCACACAAACACAGCTTGCAATAGCAGCAGCAGCACAACGACAACAACAACAGCACCAACAACTATAAACAGCTCAAACATAAATAATAATAATAATAAGAGTTCTAATTCTACAATAATAACAGCACAAAACTGCCGTCAATACAGTTCGGTGCATACACAACAACCCGCTGGACCCGTCCGAGAGATACAAATCGATCCGTACATCATACTCGACGATGATCTGAAATATTTCTATGATGATGTCAGAGACGTAAGTACACAATGCCTAATGTTTGTGCAATTTGAAATGTAGTTAATACGAAAATATCTGCGGTAGTGAGTAATACCAGGATGTCGTGCTTTATTGCCAATTTAGGGGGTGTTGGTGTGCTCAATTGGGTGTGAAATATGGAAATTTAAGTGTTGTAAATTGTCTATTGAATATTAAGAGTTGAAAGCAAAAACATTTGTGATATTTAATTACGCTTAATTTATTACTTTTTAAATATTTGCCTTTGGGACAGATGAGCTACTTCACATTAAAGATTTTTTAATATTACATACACATATACTAGTTGACACGGCGAACTTCGGGTAATAAAAATGAAACGCATTGAAATTATTAAAATTCACTATAAAAATGGTGAAAACCTGGCGCAGATGATTCGTTGTCGTGAATCACTTTGTCGGACCGCAATACATAAATTGTCGGAAAAAATAGTGCTGGCGGGTTGAAAACAATATTGCTGCTGTTGCCCATAGTGTTGAAGAAAACCGTCCATTCCTCGTCGTTTTTTGGAGTTGTACATCCCACAAACTCCATTACTCCTTACCTTGCACAAAGACTCGGATCTTATGGTTTATAAAGTGCAGTTAATATACGAGCTCAAGTCGACCAATCATCAACAGCGTCAGGTCTTTGCTGATTGTGTCCTTGAAATACATGAAAATTTTCCGAAACTTCATCGAAAAATTATCTTTACTGACGCGACCCATTTTTCCCTACGACAATAAGCAAAAATGTCCCATCTGGTGCTTGGGAAAACCCAAAATCTATTGTTGAAAAGCCTCTCCAGCCTCAACGTGTAACTGTTTTCCGAAACTTCATCGAAAAATTATCTTTACTGATGCGACCCATTTTTCCCTACGACAATAAGCAAAACTGTCCCATCTGGTGCTCGGGAAAACAAATCTATTATTGAAAAGCCTCTCCAGCCTCAACGTGTAACTGTTTGGTGCGGTTTATAGTCCGGCGGAGTCATTGAACCTTACATTTTGGAAAATCAATGGATTGCGCTATCGTCGATATTTTAAGGAGTAAAGCCAATCTAGGATTTTTGAAAATGTAATTTGTTTTTGCTCACAGAGTACCTTTGGGTATTAGAAATGATATGCAATTGGTTTTAAAGTGACAAAAGTAATTTAAATAATAGAACTCAGTACTTTCAAGCATAGAAATTCTATTCTTTTTCCCATATTTCTACAATAAATTTTTAAGAACGAGTTTAGTTTTCAACCTTAGAGTAGTCTTACCCCTAAAGAAAGATGTTCCGAGATCTAGTGCCATAACTCCTTGGGACTTCTTCCTTTGGGTATACATGACAGGCCATGGTGGATTCAAGACCACAAAGATGGGATTCGTGAAGTTATTGAGGGCATGCAGCAGTCACTGTGCGATTTGGTGATACGAACCCTGGAATGACGAAACCCACTGCAGATCACTCACCTATTGTGGCTGCGGAAATTACCATCTATTTTTACCTTAATTTGCTGCTTCTAAAAGTATTATTCAAATTGGTTTTTATGGTTCATTAGCAGGGTAAAAGTCGAGGTCGTTTTAGTATAAAAACCACAGAAGCTATAGGATTTTGTTTGAGGAATGCCTTCACGCGGTTAAATTTTATTGGTGGGGAATTTTCTCTCTTATTAGTTAGTACTTGATCTTTTTTATTAGTTAGTTTGGTTAGAGATTTTTTATTAAGAAATAACAAATATAAATGTACTTTTCTCAAGTTTGAATTGAAAGATAAATAAGACGATATTAGTATCTCGAGTAAAGATAGTTTGATGAGAATTTCAGACTTTCACAAATTTCCGAAGTTGAAAGAGGTTTAATTATGTTTAACTGCTGGCAAAAGTATGAGAAACACAAAAATGTGAGAAGGAACGTATGTTTGAGAGAAGTTAATTTTTTGAACACTCATCCTAAATGTAGGCAACATTTTGGTGTGAATTTCTATTTTAATTAGAAAAAACGTACAGCTGAAGCCCATTGCAGGCTTATGGAATTTAATGGTGAATCCCACCGACCTATAAGACATGCAAGAGTGGTTTCGACTCTTTAAAAGTGGTAATTTTAGCGTCGAGAACAGAGAGTGTACTGGGGAGATCAGACCGGTATGAGCTGCTAAAATCAAGCGAAACCAATACAAGAAGTATTACTCTTCATAATATTCGCATAAATATTTATCCTCCATTTATCCATTGTCCATATCCTCAAATTTTTTTCCCCAATCACAACACTGGAGGTTAGAAAATTATTTATTTATATCATATCCTATATACATACCTAAGCATCCGCATAAAAAATCGGCAATTGAATTTAAGAATCTTGCAAGAAACTGAAACTAAATTAAAATGTGTATTTTTGGTCTAAGAAAAGTGAACGAAAAAATAAATAATAAAAAAATAAAGACACAATAAAAACTCATGGATGTGCCACTCGTAACTGCGGCGATAGTTCATCAAATGCTGCTACATAAAACGCTGTCAGCATATTTATTAACTCGCTGGCTTTGATGAATGCGGCGTTGTGACGTTGTGGGAATTTTCTAAGCACAGCAAACACAAACGGATTTATTTCTATGTATGTTTGTGTGTGCCACCGCATATATCACCTTGAAAGTTTTGGTAAACACACAATTGAGAATTTGAGAATTAACAACGCAAATGTAGGAAATGCACTTTTTTTAATACGCCATAGTGGTTTTGGCAGACTCTAACCAAATATTAATGTTTATTTAATTTAATTTTTATTGCCAATTAAGCTTGGCAAGTTGTGTTATTGAGTCATTTAGGGTGATATAATTGTATTTAAATTTATTGCCGAACAGTTTTAATTATTTTCTTAATTTTTATTTAAACTTAAAATCATATCATTTAGATGTTTTGTTATATTTGCTTCTTCCAATTTCATTGAATTTCCGCATTAATTCCCGATTTCCTCTTTTCTTTTGCTTCACAGCTCCTGCGGCAAGGCACGAGTCAAACTGAACTCGATAAGATCGCTTCGTATTATTTCGACGGCCAGGGGAAAGCGCTACGTCCCATGGTTACTATGCTGATGGCCAGAGCGATTAACTACCATTTAAATAAGGAATCAAGGTAAGTACGAACATAAGTGTTGGCAAAATGCTTTGTCTGTGCTCTTTGTGTATAGCTTTTTTGTTCGGCATAGTAGAGCGGAACGAATTAAATTAAAATGCAGTTGGTTAATTAAAAGCGCTTGAGTGATTACAGCTCACAAAGTATAAAAAATAGGAAGTAAAAAACATATACATATATTTCTACATATAAAAAAAATCACATTAAAACTAATTTAAAAAAAAAAATATTTTAAAAAAAAGAAAAAGAAATAGAAACTGAAAAACTTATAAAAATTAAAAACAATATATTAATTTCACTTTAAATATACTGAAAAAATATTTAGAAAAAAAAAAGAAATGAAAACTGAAAAACTTACAGAAATAAAAAAAATTAATTAAAGTAATTTTTAAAATACTGAAAAAATTGAATTTTAAAGGAAGGTAATAAAGAAATTATCCTTTGTAGGCTTATGTACATATAGTAGATAAATAAATATGTATATATTAGTAATATAAAAGAACACTACTTAAAATAAAATAACAAAATAAAATTATGAAAAATATATAATAAAAAATTATAAAACAAAATTATATATAAAATGTATTTTTGAAACGAAATAAAAAAAAAGATTTGTCTGTCTGTGTGTAGAATAATAAATGCAATGCTTCTGAATGTTTTTTGGCGAATTTTTTACCACAAATCAAATATCTGAACAAATCGGTCATCTGATATCTATGATTTTCGTATAAAACGTGTAATTCATAACATATATTTTTTATTACCTAAATTGTGAATTTTTTCGCTTTTTAGGATCTTCTATTTTAATTGTTTTTGGAATTAAAAAATGCAAAATTTCTCTAATTTTCGCTATAAAAATGTAAAAATATCTAATGCAAATCGAAAAAATAAATATTACAAATTAACCTGCTACATTTGAGCCATTAAAAAATGATATTTATTTAAAATATATTTCAATCAAATATGTGTAAAATTCAGTAAAGGTATAAACAGCCATTGCCATTGAATAATGATATTTATTTAAAAGATATTTTTTTTTGATATTTAATGCATAAAAATTCATAAATTCAAACGAAAATCACTTCCATGAAATCCACGAAATAATGAAAAATGCAAACCCATGCACAATGAACACAATTTGCAATTCAGCTCGAAGGCCTAAAATACATATTTATATATTGTACGTTTATACGTATTTAGTCTGTTATTTATTTCACTACAAGTACAAATATATTTTTGATTTATTTATAAAATCTAAAAATAATAATAAAATTTGCAGCGCTCTGGCGTTTGGTAATTGAATTTCTTTGGCCACGTGCTTGTGTGCTCACACGCATGCATATGTACATACATATTTGCCTAAAGAGTCGTAAACATTTGATAAAATAAATTTTTCTATGGCGCACGGGGCGTATGAGTGATCTCCCAAAGCATTTTGCTCCGCTGATGGTCATCAGCATTTGATATTTGTTTTGTTGTTACTACAACACAGACACATACATATCCACATACAAAGTGTGCAACATTGCGTAAATGCGCTTCGGCCTATAAATCCGGCTATAATAGAGTTTATTGAAGGTGCTTGTGAAAGGTTACACGGTCCACCTCAAAGCCATCAAAGCCATCATCAGCAAGCAAAACCAACAACAGCAACAGCAAAAAGCTATTCATTTTAATATTTGCCATTGAGCGCTTTTTTATAATCTATGAATGTACATGTAAATGTGGCAGTGTATGTATGCCTTTGTGACTATTTGACTTGCGATTTCGCTTGTAGTTTGGCCTAATAGCGTAACGGTGCTAATTAAACAGAAATTATTTCATTCATTCGTTTCATTTTTGGTTACCTGACAACTGTCGTCGACTGCCCTGTGTAGACATTTTTTTTCCTTTGAAATTTTTAATTTATTGTTTATCGCGTCTTTTTTATGTATTAATTTTTATTTATCTCCTTTTAATTTTGTTTTGGTTTTCTTTTCAATATAAATTTAATATTTACTTGTTTGTTTTTTTTTTTCATTTCAGCAATTTACTGCACAAACAAAGATTCATCGCGCTCTTCTCCGAAATGGTCCATTCGGCAAGTCTGGTGCATGACGATGTCATCGATCAATCGGATATTCGTCGCGGCAAGCCGAGCGTGAATGCGCTGTGGAATCACAAAAAGGTCAGCTGCTAATGCTAATTTTTTGTTTGTATTTGTTTGTGTATTTTGCATTTGTGTAATCATGATTGTTTAGCTGCGTTTCTTAATTTTCTTTCAAATTTCAAGGGTATCACTCACCACTTTTTTAAATTTCTATTCGTCGCGTTGTAATTATATAATTATCAAACCAAAAAGGAAAGTTATTTAGCTTGCAAAGGCGATTAATGGCGATTTCAGCTCAACTTTATATAAGCAGTTGGCAACCCTTTCCATAAATATATCTGGCATCAATCTCTAAAAACCTCATAGTTTGGATCCTCAATCCTTAAACACTCAATGATATCGAAATAAAATCTTACATAGAGCGTAACTCTGTCCAAAATTATTATAAACTATAAATTCTTAAACTTCTTCAGTTCATGCCCTCTTAATCACAGCTTACGATTTTAAGCTCCATAAATGCGTATCGAGACTGCCAATTTTTCTAGATTAATTTCCAAAACAAACATTGTGCTAAAATTATTGCTCAACTAATTAACCATAAATTATGTAAGCAACAATTAAAATTCGATTGCCTCCAGATCGTTTTAACAATTTCGCTAAGTAGAGTTATCAAAAAGCAGTTATTTTAAGTAATTGTTTAATAGTCTATAATTGTATTTAAGCGATTTTTACAAGGCATCAATTTTTCTAAATTCTCGGCTTAAATTGAACTGGTTTGAGTTGAGTTTTTACTGCTTCAATTTTTTTTTCAATTTTTAATTTTTTTTTTTTTTATTCTCAAGCGGTTTTGGTTGTGACATCAAAATAAGTCAAGTGTCGTGGTATTGACCGCCTGAAAATCAACCTACGAAATATAGCAAAGCACGTTGCCACCGCCTAGGAGTGTGGCGAGTAGAGCAAACAGCGAGAGAAGTGAGCGGTCTCCCCTTGCTATTTGACTGACGGACTAACAGGCAATAACATGGACAAGCAACAAGCATTTAAGGCCTTTTAGTATTGCATATTTATAGTATTTGCGCCAACTGGTGTCCGATCTTTGCGAGATTTGTCCATTTTTGCTTAGCAGAATTTCCTAAACACGCGCTGAAGGTCCCTGGCCGAATGCGACTGCGCCGATATGGGAAATGAGAACAAGTTTACGTCGCGATTGCCGCTATTTAATTGTCTTCTCGCCTCCTCCGCTGGCGGCGACCGCGTGTACAATGGCGGCTCTTGGCCGCTATTCGCCTTCAATTTGTTCGTGTGGCCATAAGTGGTGGTGGCTTTGGCATAATTGCACTAGTTTTTGGTTTTTTAAATCAACAGTTGCCTCTTTTTTGCCGCCAATTGTTGCATGTTTTTGGTTGTTGTTGTTGTTGTTGTCACATGTGGCATAAATCGAGAAGTGCGCAGTTTGTTTGCCGAAAAACAAGTTCGCATACATAATATTGTACATATATATATATATATATATGTATATATACAAACTTGGCTGTCAAGTCAATGCGATGGCGATCTGGTTGGCGCGCAATTACGAAATTCGGTAATGCATAATATTTATAAATGGCATTAAATAGTGTGCTTAAGCAGGTTACTCTGCAGGAGTGGCAGCCCCGCGTGAAGGTGATTGGTGTTGGGTGAATTAAGAGTTATATTTTATATGTATTATTTAATTTATGCCATGCGGAAGATATTTCTATACCGAAACTGTGAAAAAGTATACCCAAAATTATGTAAAATATAAAATTTACTGCAAAAAGATTTAAGTATTGATTGTAATAAATAAATATGGTCTTTATGGTCTGATTGGTCGTCCGCCCTGTGACTTATATCTAATTTGCTTATTTGATTTATTTATTATTAATTTCTTTTTAATATTATTTTATACTATTAAATTTAGTTTTGATTTATTTAATTTAATTAAATTTATTTATTAATTTTAATTTCTTTTGAACATTATTTTATACTAATTTATTTAATTTTTTTTAATTTTATTTAATTTAATTTAGTTTTATATAATTTAATTTAATTTTTTAGTTTTTTTTTAATTTTTTTTAGTTTGTTTTTTTTTGTCAATTTTGTTTTTATTTTCATTTTCCTTTGTCTAATTTTCTTTTTTTGTGTTGTTTTATTTTATTTATTTTAATTTAATTTTACTGAGTTTATTTAAATTTTTTGCATTATTTTGTGTAGTAATTATTTTATTTTGTGCTATTGTGAGTATGTCCTTCAGCTATTGCTGTAGGCGGCAAGCGAATTCATCTGACTTAAGAAATCAAAACAAGCTTTCTGTTTCACATTGTCTACAACTTGCTTTATTGTAATTCTTTTTGATTTGGTTGTGATTTTTGTTGAGTTTTTCCTTTAGTATTTTGGTAAATTCCGTGTATTTTTAACTAACCGCATATTTGACCAGCCAATCAGTACATATATACATACTATACATATGTAATGCCAAGAGTAAGCTGTTTACCTGCACACTTCTGTCGACTATTGGCTCTTGGCAGGTATCCGCAGTGCGCTGTCTGCTGCTTGTCAGCTCGCCAGCTACCACTGTTCCGCCTAGTGCGACGCAGCTAATTCGATTCCAATGCTATGGATGAATATCACCAGCGATTTGGTTGGCTTACACGCATTGCGTAAGCAGCGAGATATTTCCATGTCAAATGTTAACTCGATGTTTTTTTTAATGCTTTAAAGTTTTTTTTAAATATTTTTCAATTTTATTTGTGTTAGGCCATTTTCGTTTAACATTTAACTTAGTAACCATGTCTTCTGCTTTCCTTTTTTATTCCAATATTTTTATGTCGCTTTGAGGTTAAGTTATATCGATTTTTAAAGACCAACAGTTGTTTAATGCTTTAAGTAAATTGAAAATTGCGGTGTTGAGTTGTGTTGAACTCTTATCGTTTCTGGTAGAAAAAGTTTGCTAACAACATGAGTAGATATATACATATATATGGAAGTTAGTTTGTTTTTATCATCACCTGGTTGCCTAATATATTCTGGGTTAATACTTGAATCGAAATAAAACTAAGTCTTTATTTAAAAGATTTTATGAAGTGTGAATAATCGATGTACCGTTGTAAATTCTGTTTACATTGGAGTCATTTGAACTATGGGCAGTTAACTTAAACAGTTTCGTCTTCTAAAAATATATTATATACCATTAATTTTTTCTAAATGCTAGTAAATATACTTATAAATACATATAATATATATATAAATACATATAATATATATAAATATGTATATATATATATGTATTTGTAATCGTTGGAAGTAAAACTTTTCATGGTTAAAAATCAAATTTTAAAAATTTAAAATAATAATATTAAATCTCCAACCAAAGCCAATTTGAGAATTAAAAAGATGTAAATGTAATACCAAAATAAAAAATAAAACGAAACTAAAAAATAAAGAAAAGTTTAAAAATTAAACAAAAAAGAATTTAGAAAGTATAAATTACCAAACCTACGTATTATTTCAAATAATTAAAAAACAGAAATAAATTAAAAGCTAAAAAAAAATTTAATTAAAAATTAAAAGAAAATATTTAAATTTTTTTTTCAATTTTGTAATAAAAAGAATAAGCCTAAAAAGGGTAATAAAAAAATTAATTAAGAGAGGTAAATAAGTAAAAGGTAAGAGATTTAAAAATTATTGATTAAACAAATAAAGTGTAAATTAAAAAATGAAAAACTAGTTTAAAAATATAAAAAAACGAATGTATTGACGTATTTAATCAATTAAAAGATAGGAAACTAAATTTAAGTTAAAAAATCAAACAAATTAAAAAGGTAATAGAAAAAACTTCAACAACAAAATAAACAAATTGATAAAAGTAAAAAAAAAATACAGAGTAAGAAAAATTAAAAAAACGGACAGAAACTAATAAAAAAAGAATAGATTAAGCAAAGAAAGTGCTTAAAAATAAAGAGACAATTAAAAAAGGAAGTATTTAAGATTGGAAAAAACTAAAAAGCAAATGAATTTACGTATTTAATCAACTGAAAAATATGAAACTAAATTTAAATTAAACAAATTAAAAAAGTAATAGCAAAAAAAAAAAAATATAAAAAAACAAATAAAAGCAAAAAAAAATTTCAGAGCAAAAAAAAATTAAAAAATGAAGAGAAAAATTTAAGCGAAAAGAAATTAGTAGAAAAATAATAGAAAATTAAAAACGGAAATAATTAAAATTAGAAACAAAGAAAAAGAAATTAAAGAGCCAAAATTAAGAAAAAAAATAATGAAAATATTAAAAGTTTAAAGTAATTTATATAAAAAAATTTGAAGATAAATTAAAAAAAAATGAAAGAATAAAAAGAAAAGCAAAAAAAGACTTTCAGAAGTTGTTAGAATTATGCTTTTACAATTTATTTTATATTTCTGTTTTTAATATATTATTTTTATTAAAATATTTTTTTAAATATACATTTATTTTGTTAACTATACGTATGTTTTTTTTTAACTTACAGGTTACAATGGCTGGCGATTATATTCTCTCGATTGCTTCGATTATGATTGCACGTCTGAAAAGCGACGATGTGACGATTGTTCTAAGTCAGGTAAGTAAAAAATCGAAGTTATATTGTAAAGCTAAATAATATTACGAAGTATGTTTTCATTAGTGGTATGCGTGGAAATATATATTTTTTTTAGAATGACCAAACATTACTCCTTTTTTTTGAAATATGAAAGAAAATAAATTAATTTTTGTGAAAAATATGTAATTTGAAAATTTACAAACAGTTAATTTATCTATATTTATTTTTTAAATAAGTCTCACTAACGGCTTTACAAAATATGAAATTTAACATCTAAATGGTAATTGTATACATAAAAGAAGTTTCGCTTATTCTTATATGCTTCTCCGTTTCAAGTTCACGTATGAAATTGTACACAAAACCAAGATCACGTGGACTGTCTTTACCCATTAAGAATGTTCTTCCCCTTATGAACTTCATATTTTAGGTTTTTTTTACCATTTTGGCTAGCAAATGTAAGCCTGTTCTGTAGGCACGTCAAGACAAGAACAAGATAGGCTGATATTCACATATCGATAACGATCTGAAAACCTGAAATGCTGCTTTCTGCTTGAGCAGTTTTACTCCTTTTTCTGTCATTTTATGCATGCCCTTTTCTGCCCTTTACACTATTGTTGTAAATCAACCGCGCATGAGTAAGCACAGAATCTCGCATTCTTATTTCAGTTACATATTTTTGCTTAAAATACAAGATAAAAGTCAAAGGATGTTGCCGCTTTTACGTGTAGAGTTCTGAAAGGCAAAGTTCTTCCTTGATTTTGAACTCTTTGAACTTGGTTGGAGGTCAGTCCAACCGTATATTGACTGGTTGGCAATAAGCCGCTCGTCTGTCTGGTCTTCGACATTTTGCCAATGCATGTTTTTTATGAGAATTAAATTTTTGCTCCTAGTGGAATTTTAAAATTAGTGGTCACATTTAAATTCCGCTTTTGATTTTTATCGGCTTCTTTATTAATTATTTCTTGTACTTATGTATTTCCGGGATACTAATTTTTTTTTTTTTGTATATAAGTGCTCTGTCAGATTCCATATATATTGACTAAATTGCAATTAAATTTACAATTTGAATAAATTGACGTAAAAGTCGCTTTACCGGCAAGCTCTCTTGTGCTTGGTCCGGTCCTCAACTTAAGTGCTCGGAATTGTCATTAATTTTGTGACTAAGCGATATTGTTGCATTTGCGATGTATTATGTTGCATAAAATTATTCTGAATCTATTAATTAGACTTTATAAAGCCAGTAGAAGAGAAGTAAATAAAAAAATAATTATTTTAAGAATAATTAATGAAGTCTCCTCTCACTTAGCCATAGCAATACATATTTCGAATATAAGCTAAGTCAGACCAGAAACACTATTTTTGATGAAATTTCTTTCGGTAGTGTTGAAGAAAATTATACTTTTATTGATGTAAAAGATATTAAACTTTTTCGGTAATTTACGTTGCTTTTTCGTATTTTTTAACCGAACATTTGTTGATACTGGCAAAACACACCACAAACAATGATGTATTCTTGGCAGCCTGGCCAGAATTGAAGGTTTTCCCATTCAAATGATAATCCAATGGTGTTAAGTCGGCATAAAGAGTGTATGTGGCCTCAGCTCCCAATGCAGCTCTGTTAACTTTTGACGGATTATCAAAAAGATGTAGGGTCTATTTTATTATGCTATAAAATCACTGCTCTTTTTCTTGATATATATGATATAGGACTATAAAATATTCAAAATATTTTGGATTAGAAACAAAGCAATTTTCGAAGATTTATTAATTAGTATTTGTTATTTTTCTCTAGTCCCGAAATATAAAGCGCTTAATAAAAATTAATAAAAAGTAAATATGGTGCGGTTTTTTCGAAAATGAAGACTTTGTTGTGAAAAAATTGTTATACATTTAATGTTCAAAGTTTTGCCCTTCGAAAGCTACGATGTTTTCTCATCTTTCTGGCAGTTTGTGGATTCCATCCCAAAAGAACTTCTCCGGCTTGGCGGTCAAGAAAGCATCGACCCGATTTCTGATATCCTTTTCTGAAGTGAAACATACTCCGGTGAGGGCATTCTGCATTGATCTGAGCAAGTGGTAATCGGAAGGTGCTATGTCTGGGCTATAAGGCGGGTGAGGAAGAAATTCCCATCCACAGTTTTCCATATACTTTTTAGCTGACCTTGCAACATGTGGCCGAGCGTTGTCACGATGAAAAATTATTGATTCGTGTCTCGTCGCATATTTTGCTCGTTTTTCCGCGATGTCCATTTTAAAGCGAATCAAATGTTTTCGGTAGAGGTCCCCATTGATCGTCTGACCCGATTTCAATAACTCATAATAGAGCAAACCCTTGTGGTCCTACCAAGTACATAGCATAACCTTGGCACCATGGATAGTCGGCTTTGCCGTGGATGCCGTTGGTTGGCCGGGCTTCACGTACGATCTCTTGCGCTTTGGGTTATCATAATGAATCCATTTTTCATCGCCAGTGACAATCCGATGCAAAAACGACCTCTTCTGATGGCGTTGAAGCAACATTTATGACATGCAGAATCGACGTTCGATGTCTCTTGGCTTTAATTCATAAGGCACCCGATTGCCAAGCTTCTGGTTGAATAGTAAAGATTTTAATCGTCTGGAAATAGTTGCTTGATCAACTCCTAATACTTTTGCGAGCTCTTCTTGCGTCTGGGATGCATCTGCGTCGAGCAATGTCTCCAATTCTTCGGCTTGATATGTTTTTGGCTGTCCGGGTTCTCCGTCGTCTAAGTCGAAATAGCCACTTTTAACATGTTCGTTCGACTAAAGCATGGTTACCATAAACGTCCAGTAAAATACCATGGCTATCGGTAGCACTTTCCTTCATGTTAAAGTAATGAAGAAGAACTCCCCGCAAAAACACTTAATCTGGTACAAATTTCGACATTTTCAAATGAATGAAACAAATTGTTGTTCATGCTAAAACAAATGACATCTACTGAAGCCGACGCGAAATGACAGTACCTCTAAAATGAATATAGCCTCAGATGAACACGACGCGAAATAATTCTAGTGGAGCCCTCTCTTAGAAAACCGCAGGAATTAAGGCATACACCCAATGCAAATTTTTTGTTAATAAAATAAAAAATCGTCATTTTAATTACGGGTTCTTAAATAATTTTAATTAATAAATTCACTTAATTTGAGAATCAACGTTAACATGATTTATTAAAGATTACTTAAGCTGAAATATTTTCAGAGTGATTACATATTCATTAATCTAAACTATTTAAATTGCTTCATCACAAAATTGATTATGGGAAAACTGAATGCAATTTTTAAAAATTGAATGTAATGCACTTAAATAACTTTTATAAAAAACATTTGAAAATGGAAATGAATTTTTTCTAATATTAAATTTATATAAATAAATGAAATATAAACGTTATACACTTATCAATTAGCAGGAAATCTTTCTCATAATTTTTGTTCATAATTTGTCAAACACGCAGCGATAAGATTACAACAAATCACATTGACACGCGTGCGCTTAGATGTAATACGAAAAAAAAATTAATCTACTTGAAAACAAAAATATTCCACAAATGCAAATATAATAAGAAATATAGAAAATTATATTCAAAATGTTTTGAAATGCCAATATTTACAGATAAATAAATGTGTGTACGAGTGTATGCAAATGCAAAATTAAAAAATTCATGTTTACAGAATTATCGCAAAAAGTATGCGAAATTCGATAAATGCCAAAAATTTGAAAACAAATAGTAAATGAGACCATTTTTGGCATTTAACAACTTTTACACACACACAAACACACATATACATACATATGTACCTATAGCTCAATATGTCAGGCACGCGCGTGTATATGTATGTGTGTCATTTATTTATTTAAAACATTGAAAATCCCATCAAATTTGAATGACACTCAGCCAGTATGCATTTATTTTTTGCCATGTTTACACACACTTTACATACGCACAAGAGTGCGCTCGTGTATATGTGTGTATGTGTGTGTGTGTGTGTGTGTGTGGATAAACAAATAAATTCAAATGAATAAAATCGATATGCAATGATTTGTGGCTGCAGCTGTAAATTGTCGGTTGCAGTGCGGCTTTGGTGTTCGCTAAATGTTTGTAGCGCGCCCTCAAATAGCAGTTATATACGAGTACATAAATATGTATTTATGTTTGTATGTATGATTATTAGTAGTGTTGACATGTATGTAGGCAAGCCTGCTAGATTTTATGGGTCAATATGCTGCTGGTCACAACGTTTGATATGTCCTACTCACCCAATTTGTTTAAACCAAATGCAAATTGCAAATGCTACATATATGTATGTGTGTATGTACGTTTTGCAATGCGTTTGTTTTGGCTCTTATTGTCGCTAATATTTTGTAAATCCCATTAAAATGTTAGATATTTTCCTTTTTTGCCTTGTCGACCACAAATTCCGATTATGTGCTGGTACTTAACGTTTTATACATATTTGGTATTTTTTTTACTCAACGAAAAGTGGTAATGCTTTGTATAATACCTTAGAAGCGCTAATATGGCTGCTGGGTTTTTAATTGTTTTTGCTGTAACTGTACACTTTAATTTTTGTCGTTTTAGCATGTCAAAACTTACGTTGGTATATATGTATAAGTACGAGTATATATATTATATTATGACCAATTTTGCTGGAATGCTTTGAGCGTACGGCGCATAGGGTGTGTCAAAAGTAAATTTACATATTCATCTCACAATTCCGATATATTTATACATTTAAGCATTTATCTAATAAGTAATGTCTTCTGCTGCCTTATGTCGGTCTCATGATGCTCTTAACGGCGCATTTAACTTATGCGTTTAGCGTCGCCGCATCAGAAGCGTTTCTCACTAAATTATTGCATAATTTCCATTTGTAACGCTTAGTTATTGCGCACGGATGCTTGTATACATAAATAAATATGATATGTATATATTAGTTTCTTTTTCTTCTTTCATTAGAGCCTTCGTTGTTTCGCTCCATTGTGTATATTTTTTCTTCTTGTT